ACAAAACGCCTACGCCACGCCAGGCTGCAGGCTGGAAGAGGGTGGGAGTGTGGGGAATGTGGTTACAAAGGTGGGTAAAATGCCGTCCGGCAGGGGATCTCGTGCAGGCTGAGCCAGGCAGGCTCTGAGACTCTGGGGCTGCAGCGTGGGCCCAGCAAGCAGACCTGTGCAGGGGCCTTAGGCCACAACTGGAGGAGGAGCCAGCCTCAGCTTCCAGGTGGCCTGACAGCCGGGCGTGGGGCAGGAGGAAGCTCATACGGGGAAACTCAGCCAGGCAAGCAGCCAGACCCCACTTACCCTGCATCCACCCTCCCCAGCGCATGAGGAGAAGCCCAGACCCGCTCAGAAGAGCCGTTTGTGCCCATCCCAACTCCAAGATCTCAACGTCAGCCGTAGTGAGAGTATTTACACCACAGAAACCAGCATCTCTATACCAAGGCTTTTCTTCCCTGCCGGGCTATAAGCATTTAGTAGCGCACCACAACCCTCCTCGCAACCCTGCTGCCAAGTCTGAACGGTTAGAACAAAATAAACTCTGGTTTTCTCTTACCTATTCTTAAACTTATGCAGAGACATGCTGTCCTCAGGCCGGCAAAGGGCTCTGTCAACTAGAATAGAATCTGGGAACACGTCCCACAACACCCAAGCCATGAGAGGAAGGTGCCCTGTCCCCAAGCATGCAGCTCCCGCCTGTGGTGGGGAAATGACAGATAAAAGTGAGTGACCACAAAAGTGAACTCTGTGTGTGTGTGTGTGTGTGTGTGTGTGTCTCTCTCTCTCTCTCTCTCTCTCACACAGACACACAGAACAAATTTACTGATCACGCACTGTGTATAACACAGGATACCCTATGCAATTATCCAAGGACTTTAAATGATTACATTATTTATCCCTTCTAACAACCGAAGAAATATGCAGTGGTTCCCGCCCCTTCTATAGATGAGGAAGCTGAATTTCCACAGCGAGTAGCAGTCAGGGTGAATCAATGCTGTGGAGATGGGTTCTAATCTTGGAGTCTCCCCGGGAACCACCTCAGAGTACGGAGAGGCCCTGAGGGTGTCCCACCGTGTGAGGAAACACAGGGGACCTGGTGTGCCCCCAAACAGGAGCGTGGCAAGTGGCCTCCTGTCAGAGCGTTGGATACCAGGGAAAACACTGGTTTTCCGCTGTAGGCACCAGCAGTTTTCCTTCTCCAGGAGCTGAGTCCGCTTCCCCCTTCCTTTAGCTCCTGCCCCTGCCCAGGTAGCGTCCCAGCCTCAGAAGGGATTAATCCATCCAGACCACTCTGCAGGTGAGTCACTAAAGAGGGTTCAACAGGCCTGGGGGGCAGACACTCAAGACATCCAGGGTTACGGGCAGCAATGGGCTGTCTGATCTGTGGTTTAGCAACAGATTGTAATTCTAAACACGGCATTCGTTATTCCACTGTGTGGCTTCTAATTAACTGCCAGAAATGCATTGTTGAGGGATGATGGATTGTGCTGGAAGAACTATTAATCCTGTCACTGCCCATGTGCGGCCCAAGCCCAGAGCCACTGACTCCGGAGACCCTGGGCTGCATTGCAAGGGCCCGAGGTGACTGCTCCATGCCTGGTAGTGACGACATCAGTGGCATCTCATCACCTGAACCTGCAGGGGCACACACCTGGGTCCTTCCAGGTACCACGGTTGCCACAGACAGGAAGGTGGTGCCAGAGGATGTACCCCTGAGTAGTGAAGGATGGCCAAAGTAATCGACCACATTTCGTGAAAAGGAAATTACTAGGGGTGGATATAAGGTCCTGCACTTGGGGCTGCAAAAGCCAGTCACGTGAGCACAGGGAAAAGGCCGAGTCGACCGTGAGCATCACTACGTAGGTGGCAACCAGCCACCTAGAAAGCTGGTGCAAAAAATAGTCTGCATTAAAAAAAGCGGGATATATCTAAATATAACCTTGTTTTACATGGGTCACACTGCTCAATTCTAACCAACCTATTTAAAAAGATTATAGTAGGGGTTACTGGAGAAACAGAACTATTTTAAGGAATTGGCTCAAGCCATTGTAGGGAGTTGTAAGTCTGACATCCGTAGGGCAGGCCAGTAGGCTGGAAATTTAGGTAAGGGTTGAATCCCTCCTTCTTCAAGAAACCCCAGGTTTTGTTCCTAAGGCCTTCAACCGACTGGATGAGGTCCCCACCCTACATTATGGAAGATAATCTGTTTTATTTCTTTACAGTCCACTGACTATAAATGTTAATCACAACTACAATATCCAACTGCAATATCCAGACCAGTGTTTGACCAAACAGCCATGCACCATAGCCTAGCCAAGCTGACACAAGAAACTCTCAAAGAAACATGAGCATATCAGCCTGAATTCTTTTTGTAAGACACTTACAAATGTATTGTATTGTTTTACGTGTTATTTATTTTAAAAGAGATTGCCAGTTAAAGTAGGACATGAGGCATTCTTATGACAATTTTTATTTTGTATTTATTCAAAGAGTTGTTTGGGCTTTTTTGGGTAATGCTTTTCCTTTTTTTTTTTTTTTTTTTGAGACGGAGTCTCGCTCTGTTGCCCAGGCTGGAGTGCAGTGACGCGATCTCGGCTCACTGCAAGCTCTGCCTCCCGGGTTCACGCCATTCTCCTGCCTCAGCCTCCCAAGTAGCTGGGACTACAGGCGCCCGCCACCACGCCCAGCTAATTTTGTATATTTTTAGTAGAGACGGGGTTTCACCGTGTTAGCCAGGATGGTCTCGATCTCCTGACCTCATGATCTGCCCGTCTCGGCCTCCCAAAGTGCTGGGATTACAGGCGTGAGCCGGCTTTTTCTTATATATATTCTTTTACATAAGCAAAAGGAAAAAATCTGCAAAGTAAGTTAAGATATTCTTAAAAGTTCACATTCAGAGTCAAAGTCCGCTGTACCACGTTTGCATTCAGAGCCGGTGATGTTCAGATCTTTCCACTCAATATTGTCTCTGCATCACAAGTCTGGCTGGTGCAGTGTTTTATAGAAAACGATACGAGAACTAGAAGCCACTGGGAGGGTTCTGCAGTCATGCAGAGCTAGCCTACTTTTGACTCTGGCTTTGGGAATATTGCTAAACGTGCCCACTTCACTATCACCCACAGCCGTCTGATTGCTGGGGCCTAGAAAATCCACCTGTACTGTCCTCTGGCTGGTTTTCTAGGCCACTGACACCCATTCTGAAAGGTTTGGGGCTGCAGCCTCTGGTGTTTGCTCAAGTGCCAGCAATGGGCACTCTTCAGGGCCAACACCGAGATAAAGCCACTGTGGGGAGGGGTGGCTTGTTCTTATTGCAAAGGTACTAACATTTGGGAAGGAAACAAGTATTCCAAACTAAGGAAACATTTATACCAAGCGATTATGGAGGTCTTGCTATGTGGCGGTCACTGGCCTAAAGCCCCACACACATTACCACATTTAACCCACACAACAAACATGGAGGGTGTGTTGCCATCGTGCCCATCTCACAGATGCGATGAGAAGGAGCAGAGGAGTGAAGCAGCTTGCCCTGATGTACACCGGCCGGGGAATGAAGCCAGCAAGCGGCCCAAGCCGGCCTGCCCAAGCCACCGCGCCGCCTGTGCTAGGAGAGGATAGTGACCACCGCGCTCCAAGCGCGCTCCGGCGAAGAGGTCTGATAATCCCACCCAAAACTGATGGGGAAACTGAGACAGCAGAGCCTTGCAGCAGAAGGGCCGAGTGCGAGGCAGTGAGCGCCCCGCCGGCCTTTCTTCCCGTGAGACGGCTGCGCTGGGCCTCCGACCCCGGGGCCCCACGGAGGGAAGCCAGGGCGCATCCAGCACCCCTGGCCCAAAACAAGCTGCCTCAGCCTCGCACGCACGCGGGGAACCCGAGGACTGCTGCTGCTCCGCCTCTGGGCGCAGGACTCCTTTGATGAGGAAATTGGCACCCAAACCTCCCTGAACGACGCAGTGCTTCACGTCAGTAGGAGACAGAGAAAGTCAAAGTCTCAACTGACAAAAAGGGTATGAGCGTTTTGTTCCCCGGATCAGCACTAAGAAACCCTTATCGGCCTCAAAGATGTTACCAGATAAATATTGTATCTTTCAAAAAGCCTTTCCAGTGGCCCTTTAAAAATATGCTCATGACAGTGTAGCTCCCTTTCACCTGCTGAGTGTCACAGGTCACCTCTCCAGCCCGAGTGTCCCAAGGCCCCTCCCCACAGCTGACTGCAGGGAATGCCTGCAGGGGTCTCAGATCGAACTTCCATATGAGCAAAAGCCCGTAATCGTCATGCGCTCAGAAGCTGGTATGTGCTGGTCCTCGGAGTCTGATTGGAGAGGATGCTTCTCCCTTCTTCAAATGCAGTCCTTAAAAATGACAGTTTTACTTTAAAATTCTGAGTATTAAAAATGACAGTTTTACTTTAAAATTCTGAGTATTGGGCTGGGTCCGGTGGATCATGCCTATAATGCCAGCACCTTGGGAGGCCGAGGCGGGCAGATCACAAGGTCAGGAGTTCGAGACTGGCCTGGCCAAATGGCGAAAGCCCGTCTCTACTAAAAATACAAAAATTAGCTGGATGTGGTGGTAGGCACCTGTAATCCCAGCTACTTGGTAGGCTGAGGCAGGAGAATCGCTTGAATCCGAGAGACAGAGGTTGCATTGAGCTGAGATCGTGCCACTGCACTCCAGCCTGGGCAACAGAGCAAGATTCCATCTCAAAAAAAAAAAAATTCTCAGTATTTTTCCCCTGACTCATTATCCAGTAGGATCTGGAGCTCAGGGGTCTATGGAGCATAATAACTAGAGGGGCTATTGAACTCAGGACTTTAGGGAGATAGCAAAAGGGTTTCCGGAGAATGCCTGAGGCCATATTCTGTAATGGGAAATACATGGTTTCCCCCGCTGGGTGACACGCAGTGACTATAAAAACGCTGTGTGGTTGTGGCCAGCTCCAGCTCTTCCTCACTAAGAAGACAAGGTAGAGTGTTTCTTTGATATTTACCGAATGCTCTCTCAAGCCCTGTGTATGGCAACGTCGTCTCCGATCCCTTCCGGACCTCTTCCGGAGCCCCAGGTGGACTGCACGATGCTGGGATGCCACCCTCTCCTCCACCTCCACCAAAGCACGCTGCTGGTGCCACGGCTTTACCCGCCGACCCCGTCAAAGGCTTGGCTCACCTTCCCACCTTCTGCAAGCGAAGCCGCTTCTGTCTCTCTGAACCGAGCTCACTGAATGTGCACCTGGGTGTCCTCCCACCAAGCGTCCCGCTGACCCTTTGGTATGAGTCCCCCCCACCCCCCCCCACCAGCCCCTTCTCTCCCAACTGCCGGCCCTGCCTCACCCAGTGAGTTCCAGAGCAGGGGACAGGACTGGGCTACTGAAATGGGGACTCGGGCAAGTCACTTTGTGAAAAGTGAAAACAAACTCCCTCATGCTCAACATCAGACGCTTCTGTGACCAGATGTGTTTGCGTTTTCCCTGCATGCCAAGCAGTTCTGCAGTGGGCACCAGCTGGGTGTCCGATAATTCAATCCCAACACCGTCCTCCAGGGATAACATCAGATCCCACAGGTTTCGGGCTAAGTCACACGGGGTTTGCCCCACTTCAGATGCCACGTGCAAGTGCCAGGCTGGGGCCTGTGTGTCTGACCAACCCACTATCAATCAGGGACCCCACAACCCCAGATGGGTTTGATCATTTGCTAGCACAGCTCGCAGGCTCGGAGAAACATTTTACTTAGGGTTACCCGTTGATCATACAGACTGAATATTGGTTCACGGTTACAAAGGCGACAGAACAGCAGCCAGATGCACAGGTGCACAAGGTGTGGGGGTGGGGGGAGCACATTGCCACACCCTCTCTGGGTGCCCCTCTCCAGCACCTGCAAGTGCTCAGCAGCCTGGGAGCTCATCTAATCGTGTTGCTCAAGTTTTTACCCAGACGAGGCCAGGCGCCGAGGCTCAGGCCTGTAATCCGGAGGCCGAGGTGGGCAGATCACCTGAGGTCAGGAGTTCAAGCCCAACCTGCCCAACATAGTGAAACCCTGTCTCTACTAAAATTACAAAAAAATTATCTGGGCGTGGTGGCAGGTGCCTGTAATCCAAGGTACTCGGGAGGCTGAGGCAGGAACTTGGAAGGCAGAGGTTGCAGTGAGTCCAGACCAGGCCACTGCACTCCAGCCTGGGCAACAAGAACAAAAGTATGTCTCGAAAAGGAAAAAAAAAATGTTTTACCAAGATGATTCTCCAGGCCGCCTTCTCTTCACAGAGGCTCAAAGTCCTAACCCTTCCATAGGGTTTGGGCTCTGTGTCCCCACCCAAATCTCATCTTGAATTGTACTCCCACAATTCCCACGTGTTGTGGGAGAGACCCAGCGGGAGATCACTCAATCCCTGGGGAGGTTTTCCCTCTTCGGCTCTCATGGTAGTGGATAAGTCTCACGAGACCGGATGGTTTGATAAGGGGAACCCCGTTTCACTTGGCTCTCTCTTGCCACTGCCATGTAAGAAGGGCCTTTGCCCTCCTGCCGTGATTGTGAGGCTCCTCCAGCCACGTGGAACCGTAAGTCCAATAAACCTCTGTCTTTTGTGAATTGCCCAGTCTCTGGTATGTCTTTATCAGTAGCATGAAAGCGAACGAACACGCCCTCTATCACTCGGGGAGCATACTAACGCCCATGGGGCATTTCTGGACTCCCCTGCCCTATACTTTAGGGGCCATTGTGGTGCACCCTACACAGAAGCCCTGAGGATGGCTAGCTCAGCGACGTCCCCTTGGAGAAGCTCTCCTTGCCTGGCCACTGCCCTGGGCCCTCACTCCCGTTGCATGGTATCAGTGTCCAAATAAATGGATTGTTGCCAAGCCCTTGTCTTGGGCCCTTTTTGGGAAAAACCGAGGTAAGACAAGGGCTAGAGTGTTACAGATTTGGATTCCAACTGCAGAGAAGTGAAGGCTCAAGCCATTGGGATGAGGGGGATGTCAGAGCGGGAGCACAGGGCCGAATAGAGGGGCTCTGCGGAGCCTCCTTTATCAGACGGGAGAAGGAGGGTTGCTCTGGTGCAGACAAGGCCTCTTCCAAGAGGGCCTCGGAGCGCTGGACGGACGAGTGTGGCTTCTCGACCTTGGAGACTCTAGGGACAGCCCATGCTGTGAGCTGCCTCTGGAGATTCAAGTTTGATCCAAATGACTGACCCGGAGAACAGGATCTGGCCCCTCACCTGTTCCCTCCTGCTTCTTAAACAAACACGAAGCACGTTTCTGCTGCCTGAGGGTGCTCACTGCCAGTAACGCTGAGAGGTGAAAACCAAAGGGAACCCAAAGATTGACAGTGATACAGACGTCCCGCAATCCTGGTGTGTGGAAGGCTTGGAGCCGGCATTTCCCCTGGCCCAGGCCTGCACTCCCACCACAGTGACCTCTGCTTCTTAAGGCCTGTCTCCCCCACAGTGGTGAAAAGAAACTCCAGCGAGGCAGGAGGATGCCAGGAGAAGGTGGCGTCCCCGAGACAGGGAGGAAGGTG